TATTTACAAAAGGAAATATTTAAGATTGCATGTGATAAATACTCTGTGATTACTCCTCGCATTTCCTCTATGTTAATAACCAATACTCGTTAGACTAAAAAGCAAAACTCGTGACACCGACAAGCAACTCCAAAGCAATACTCGATACACTGACAGATGTATATTTATTCTCAAAATGCACTGTCATCTGATATCATATTGTTGATTGAACATATACAACATACACATTATCATCGTTATCACAATAAATTCGATTGAAGTTTTTATTTTAAGGAAGTATATGCACAAAAACATCATATTTGACTGATCCGAGCTCATTATAGACGAAGTTTACTTCCTAATTACATTCCAAAGCTATTTTTCAACATTTTTGTCTTTTAAGTAACTAGAGAAATTAATGAAGTATATTTAGTTTTTGTATTTATATCAAACCAATTTAAAATGACTGAATATCGTCGCTGAATAGACCATTCCCCCGTACAAATTCGCGAAATGGGATGAAAGTCTTAAACATATCGAGCAATATCCGGGGAACGGTATACCGCAGTGGTTATACAAATAAAAACAATATGTAATAATGACAAATTGTATCGTAACACTATAGACACCTACATTCTATAGGGAATAATGCATACAAATCATATAGAGCAATAGGAGTAATGCATTTTTATTGTTTTGAGAGAAACGCAAACAAACAAAATGTAGAGATATTAATAGTATAGTTTGATCGAGTCTGCCCGTGAACGTTATTCAAATGCTACAATATGATAAACAAGATCAACAAGGAAAGGCGGTGTCCAATGAACGCAACCCCCACATGACCCAGCAAAAAGAACCAATGGCAAGGAGCCCAGGCGGACCCCAAACAAAAAGAGGACAGGGCAAAGACAGAGCACGGACAGTAACCTCGCACTTGCATCTACTCAAGACGTATTGAACCTTCGTCACACCTAAAATATAAATCAATAATAAAAACTTACCCTTGCTATGTCAAAAGTTCGTTTAAGCCATTCATTCTAAGGTCATGCTCTTTGTATAAGTATATATCTCGCGAGTTAATGACCATTCTTAAATAGTAATTCTTGTAATTTGAATGAAACCACAGAAATTGGTCGACCACGTAAGAGCGTAAAATAAAGCTTAAAGAATAGGACAATTTATCTAGAAAACAATTTTTATTGAATTGAGCTCACTAAACCAGGAAGTATTTAATAGACATTTAACAGGTTTGAAAAGGTCGAAAGGCTCTTATAATTAATACGTCATTTAATATATGGCAATGAACAGCTCCTTTAAGAGATACAAATGATTGTTTTACTGAAAAATCATGCAATCAATATTTGAAAATTCATATCCAGTTTCATTGTACTTTTAATCAGCTCGTACCATTCGCATAGGGCTTTCCCAAGTCACTTTTACATTAAACCTAACTGTTTAGGAGAAACCTTAATAGTGTAGGGGTCCATTCAAGTCTGCTGTATCCCACACGTTCAAGAATGAAATTGTATTAGAAATCAGTTTCATGTGACATGTATGTTAAGGAATGATATTCTAACAGAGGTATAGATAAACAGTATGAGCCCGGGATAGAATTTATTTTGTAAACCGATTACTATGGCATGATACTCAAATATTTATATTGAACAATCTTATAATTTGAATCGTTTTTATAATCTTCTAGCTAGATTAATTCTAAAAACTTTATGTAGATTGAAGACAAACTTTGGTAAAATTACGAATAAATGTATAACTTATACTACTAGTGTACACATTTTATGTAGATCAAAAACCTAGAATAAAATGTATTATTTTTTAAGTCTAATTCATTCAAATGTCGTCAGAGATAGTACGTGCGTTCAAGAAGCACTTAAATAAAATATATTCTTTTCTTAAATTCGGGACGCTACGTGAGACATTCTCCTCAAGAAAAATTTAATCGGATTTATTCTAATTTCCTCAAAACAGTTCGTGTGTTCCAGATGCAGTTAAATGAAGGCTCCAGCAGATAAAATATCTTTACAGGGAATCATTTTTGCTTGCTACAATTGTTAAAATGTACTGAAATAGTTCATACAATGCTTTGCTACATTCGTCATCACAATATGACTCATATTCAATGACTATATATCGTCGACTGTTAATTACGCGTGCTTATTAAAAAATAATTGTTGCGCTTTGTTCTGTATTGCTTATTTCTCGATTAAAATATCTTTACTTTACTATTTTAGTTACAAGGCAATGATGGGTACATGTATAAACATGAATTACTTTTGCGTAGCGTTCTTATAGCTGTTGCTCTTCTGCGTCTTTTCCGCGCTTTAACGAAACAGGCTCAAGTGGTACATGTACTTTCTGTGATTTTTTAAATTCTTATAGCCTATTCATATAATAAAACAATCATTGACTAGTGAGTCATTGAGTATGATGTGATATTCACCGACAGAAAGTCATATTGACTTCGGCTTAATATGTCATCTGCCGGTGAATATCACATCATATTCAATGGCACACTAGTCAATAATTATATAATAATGTACATAGATGTACCTAATGCAAATTATTAATATGGTAATCGATAACATATAATTACTGTACCACTCAATAGAGTTCCTTTAAATAATAGTTTGAGTGCATGATACCTGACGAAAAGTAGCACTGAGTATGAAATTATTCGTCATAAAAGTAGTAGAATGTGATTAAAGTAGTATTTTTACTTCTACAAAAAATCACTTTATAAATTATGGTGGCATATTTTTGCCACCAGATAACCATATAACTAACTAATTAATTAAGAGGTTAACTAGTTACTTAACTAGTTAACCTCTTAATTAACTAGTTAGTTATATGGTTAACTAGTTACGTAACTAGTTATTTTTTTCAATAAATAAAAGGTCATAACGGGAAATAAATGCATGTTAGTGCCTACAACTGCCATTCTTTTATTATTTTACCAGTTTAATGTTAAGAGATTAACTAGTTACGTAACTAGTTAACCTCTTAATTAACTATTTAGTTATATGGTTATCTGGTGGCAGAAATGTGCCACCATAATAAATGAACTTGTTGCCAGAAATTTACAAAAGCAAAAGATGGTTCATGAAGTTGGCCGATGAATACCCATTTGGAAACTATAACAATATCAAATTAGAATAAAGGCATTTCTGTGATATACTTAGTAGTAAGCCTTCAAACAGCAACTTCAAAGTCGTTCTTTTTGACCTCTCAGGTAGAAACATCTTTGCCCTTGTTTAGTGAAGCGAAGTAAATAAATTCGCAATAGGAAAGTATTAAGCGTACAGGTTTGTGCAGCGTGAATAAAATATTTTAAGCTGACGCGTTGGGGTTTTTTTTGTTATTTTCGTCGTTAGTGTACGGAAGAGCATGAGTGCCAGGTGTATGTTTTTTATTAACTCGAAATTTCGACTTACTAACTCGAAATTTCGAGTAACTTATCTCGAAATTTCGACTTACTAACTCGAAATTTCGAATAACTTACTCGAAATTTCGACATACTAACTCGAAATTTCGAGTTACTTATCTCGAAATTTCGACTTAGTTACTCGAAATTTCGACTTAGTGTCTCGAAATTTCGACTTATAACATTACTAGAATGACCAAAGTTATAAGTTAGATAATATAAGATATAGTAGGGAGTGCGGTTGAACGATGGAGATGGAGAAACGGGAGCCTGAAAAACTATTAAAGTTAAACTTAAACTTAGTAATGGCATGTACACACCGACTAAAAACACACAAGGCTTCCTTTAATTTGTACGTTCAGGCGTTCTTCAGACGTTGTATGGTATCCCACCTGTTCGAACATATCTTTTCACTAATCATATTCTTCTCATCCCTGTGAATAAAACGATCCTATACTTCACGTGTGGGACATCTGAGGAAAGTATTGCGGAGTGGCCAAAATATGGATGCTGAGGCCTTTGTCAAATTTGTTGGACTGGCTATATTTCTTGTAAAATCGGATGCTTTTATATTATTCCCATCATGTATATAACAATAAGTTCCACTTTTATCAACTTTTATCAACACAATATGAATCAAAGTCTTAGTAAATAATGAATAATGTTACAAAAACATTATAAATATAAAGAAACGTGACAGATTAACTGGCGTTTACACGCCATTTAAAAATTATTTAACACATGAATATTGCACAGTTTACAATAGGGTAAGTTTTGGACTTGTTGTATCTCCATAATTATGATGGTTGTATGTGTCCTTTAGAAAAAGAAACACCCGATTAACACGGAAATGTGGAAAGTGTGATTTTACAACCCCCAAATCCCCTGTCCCACAAAAAACGAAGGATGAGTTCAGTATGTGTGGATAAAATTTGACCCTATTAAATTGTTCTGTTAAATAAATGTTAAAGGTGCTCTGTCAATGTGCAACAGCTACACACAAAAGAAAGTATCTTGAATTCAATCCTTGCTTTCAACGGCAACCAATGAAAGTTGTGCAATGTAAGTCGAAATTTCGAGTTACTAACTCAAAATTTCGAGATAAGTTAGTCGAAATTTCGAGTTAGTAACTCGAAATTTCGAGTTAGTAACTCGAAATTTCGAGTTAATAAAAAACATTTACCTGGCACTAATGCTCTTCCGTATTCGTGCGAACGGAGCGGATATATGGCATACAGATCCGGGTCGAACAAACAACAACTTGTTATATTTTTAACTGAAGTGACATTTTAATTTCTGTTTATTTCTATTCCTTCTTGTGTTTCTTCTGTTTCTAATGGGTAGCTAATGCGCATATCATTTTACAGATCCGAGTTTATTAAAATGGCAGTTAATGTCATAACAAAATTTTTATGTAAAATGTTTGTAATGACTCACTTAAGTTATCATTGCCCAAAACTGCGTTCTGAAATAAACATCGTAAATGCAAATCATGCAGTATTTATAATTATGTACCGGTATATATTTGTCCAAAAAAGCAGTAACTATTCATTGACACAGATGTAAGAAGGACAAACACAGATGAATGTTGTTTGAATAGTTAGTTTAGTTTTATAATTGCAATAACTACTTGAATTCATTATATGTTTTCAATAATTTACGTTGTTTACAGCTAAAATTTATAGGAATTTAATAATTTAGATTACATCTGGGATGTCTTGCATGTTATCTCTTAAAGAAACTAAGCTTGAATAACTTGCACGGAGATGGTAATTTGGCTGGTATTTGCATTGTTTGTGTTTTGTTTTTATGTTTTTTTACGTAATTTTCAAAGATAATAAAACAAAACTTCAAATAATTATATTTTATTACTATACGGGATAAACTTATGAAATGCGTTACAATGTCGGAAACTTTAATTTAACTTTAATTGACCATAAAGCAATAATAGATATTTAATTGTTATGATAAAACTGTATAATTCAATACTTAATTCGTCCCGGATATATATTAAATATAGTATTGCTGTAGGATGGACACTAAGTTAAAATGACCTGTGCGAACAGCAGCTCTCGAGCATTTGGTATTTGGAAGTATTCAAAGCATAACGCGAGTTATAATAATTGGAAGTACAATATTTCATTTTTAAAATGACCAGATGTTTCATAATGAAATAGAGAGGAACATAATCCCCCCTTAAGAAACAATAATGAGAACAAAGATCAACAATGCAAAGGAACGTTCACAGGACGCAGCCCCGACACACCCAAGCTACCACATGGCAAACTTATGTTAACTGTTGCATATGCTCACTGTCGCAGATGTTCAATGTTGTAGACGTTCACTGTTGCAGATGTACTCAGTGTACTGTTCACTGTTTAAGTAGTTAACTCTGAAACAATTGTTCAATGGTTTAGGTTTTCATTGTAGTTTCCTTTTGTAGTTGTTCACCGCTACAGAAGTTCAATATTATTAAGAGTTTCACTGTTTAAGATATTTTCATTCGATTATATTAACTGTTGAATATGTTCACTGTTGAAGCTGTTCACTGTTGTAAAAACTCTCTCGTAAATGTTCATTTTTGCAGATGTCCACTGTTGCAGAATTTTCACGGTTACAGATATTAACTGTTGCAGATGTTCACTGTTGCATGCAGATGTTCACTATTGAAGATGTTTACTGTTTAATATATTTACTGTTGTAGATGTTTACTGTTGAAGATATTCTCTTTTGCAGATGTTCACTGTTGCAGAGATTGACTTTTACATACGTTCACTGCTGCTGATGTTCATTGTTACAATATTCACTGTTGTAGATGTTCACAGTTGCAAGTGTTTTCTTTTGTAGTTGTTTACTGCTACATGTGTTCAATATTATAAAGAGTTTCACTGTTTAAGACATTTCCTGTCGATTATATGATTTTTATTGCAGCTGAAATGCTTTTCACATTAACTGGTATACAAATGTATACCGAAAAGCATTATTTTTATTGTTGGTGTTATTTCGTAAACTGTCTGGTTTGTACTACTTACACGGAGGTGATTTCTATTTGGCTTGTATTTGCATTATACGTGTTTTGTTTAATATGGGGACTACGACAGTTAAACAAATTTCGCAGATGTGTGATTATAAAGAAATCAAAAACGATCTTATTGCTATCCGGGGCAAACTTTAGAAATGCGTAATAATATCTGAAACCTTAATTTAAATATGAAATAATAATAATATTTTATCTTTTGTCAATCAATTATGTACGTAATGAATTTTGTCCCGGATATAATTATATTTTTAATATTGTAGTATCACTACAAGCGTGGGATGAACTGTTAGTTATAAAGAGCCGTGCGAGCGGCAGCTTTTAAAGATTTGTTTTTTGGAAGCATTCACAGCATAACGGAAGGCACTATGATTATAATACTGTTTGCAGTCCTGGTAATTAAAACATTTATTTATTATTTATTTTATTTCATGTGACTTTAAAATTGACTTTCTTATAACAGCTGTCGTAGGAACACGTTTTATACCTAATGTTTGTTATGCGATAAGTGCTTTGTTTGTAGAAGGACATTGAGGTATAATTTTTATTGTTGAAAGGTGTTTGAACATTTTAATAAGAAAAACATGTGTTATTTATTTTTAATATTTGACATGTTTGACGACTGGTTCGTTTAATACGTTCGTAGACACGTTGCTCTATAAAACATTTTTTGTTTGATATTGAGAGTTCTTAAAAAAAATTCTTAAATGCCAACAAAAAAGAAAAAGATTCAAATTCTATACTCAAACAAAAATTTATTGTACACCATGTGTAAATTTATAACAACTATTTTGAACTCATTATGTACATTTTGTATTCCTATTAAGTTGGTTAATCACCTTAAAAAAGTAAGGGCACTTAGACGGCGAAATTGTCGCTATTTATTATTTCAAAAACCTAACGCTTTGTGTATTAATATTTTGCAGGTACGTTTAAACAATTTTTTATTTCAATCAAACATATATAATCTTACACAATATAATAACAATCAAATGCAAAAAGGATTTGGTAGAAAGCTAGAAGTATTGTTTAGAAACTCTCTAAAGAAACAGTAGTCGTTAATGATAACATTCATATATAAACAAAATGTATGCTTGTTATTCTAAAAATTCAATATTTGTCAAAGTATAAAAAAATGAAAAATAAAGAAATTGAAAGAAATATTTAGACATTAATTTGTCACACACCCGTGCCGAATTTACGACTCCGTAAATATGGTATTGCACGACCGTGCATATATTTTGACTTGACGTCATTAGCGTTATACAAACATAGTGTAAAGTCGCGCTAAATGTTAGCGTTATACTGTAGGCTCGTCAATGAAAAATGACTCTCATTTCACTTTACACGGTCTTTATTTTGGGTATGTGATAAAAAGAATATCAAATTCGTGTAAGTTCATTACTGAATTTATTGCACTCGTTGAATAAAATAATATTATACTCGCCAGAGGCTCGCATAATATAATTTTATTCAACTCGTGCAATAAAGTCAGTATTGAACTAACACTCATATATGTGCACATGTTTACTTACTGGATAGTTTCCTCACATGAAAGAAATCAAAGAATCTGTCGGGTCATACACTCAAGATCACACATAAAGCATCAACAAAACTTAAGTGTGATTGTACTATTTTTGAAATTTTAAAATTACATTTCACCATTTAAATTAAATCTGAATTTATTTAATTATTTTGTCTTGCTATCAATTCGTCTATCCATATAAAGTAACTTAATAATCTGTTTTCAGGGGCTGTTTGCCTCGTTTGTCAATTGTTACATTGACCTAGAAGACCTGGAAGACGTGGTTGTCCGCAGAGTAAAAAAACGTAAGTATTTTTTTAATCAAGTTTATACACGCAAGGCATAGTCATAAAATGCCTTACACTTGTTGCCATTTACTTTTTACTTGAAAATAATTTTCGACGGGGAAGGCGAGACGCACTTTGTGAATGGCATTTTAAAAATATCTTCACTAGTAAAATGCAATAAATTACCCGATAAAAAGATGCAATATGATACGATGCCATATGATATATAAAATGCATCACACTATGTAAATGTCGTTTATAAACACTTTATCTTACAAATATAGGGTTAGATCTTTATGAAACGTAAAGTATAATAAAGGATTATATTTTGTTTTGATTATCATAGCAACCCCGCATCATAAATCACGTGTAACCTTGTCTGATATACTCCACAGGAAATAGACACATAATTAAAGCGCATTGTTGAAAATAATGCATGGTTTGAGTTCAAATGAATAGGAGTATGATTAAAAAGGCCATTAAGCCTATGTGATTAATTATGTACGGTAAACCGTGCATTATTTTACTGTTATGCAAGACATATTTATATCTATAACCATTCTAACACGCTTATGAAAAAGAAAATCGATACAAATATGTAGATCTTCATAAAGCGTAGAAGTAGTTTTCATGGCGTCATTTGGCAATTGACGTTATGTCTTACGTCTTCATATTATGTGTAATACATGTATTATGTACTTGATTGCCCTATATGTTTGATAGGGGTATAGTGTGAAGCGTGTTAGAATATTCCATAATAAATTTAACACTTAGCTATGGCTCGCTGTAACCAAAAGTTACTGGTCTTTGCCACCAAAATAAAACAAGGCAAGTCTGTTCATCCGTGCAGTCAGAATAGGTTCGAGCTCTTTGCTGTTGGCTTGCTAATTTTATATTTGAGCCGCGTCACGACAAAACCAACATAATGGGTTTGCAACAAGCATGTATCCAGACCAGTCTGCGCATTCGCGCAGTCTGATCAGGATACAAGCTGTTTGCTTACAAGCCCTATTACAAGTAGAGAAACTGAAAACGAACAGCACGGATCCTGATCAGACTGCATGGATGCTCAGGCTGGTCTGGATCAATGCTGGTCGCAAACCTATTTGTTTTGTCACGAAGAGGCTCATTTTAATCTTGTTCTCAAACGTTTATAATGGGCAATACTAGAAAATATTCATTTAAGAAAATCTAGCAAAATATCTCCACTTTATTAGAGCACATAACCAGAATAAAGCGTTATCGAAGCATTTATATTGAATCATCATTAATTTTTAATATGATAACACACTTTATTTTCACATCAGTATAGTTCGATGAAATTTTTGTGTGCTGTTTTATTTATTAAAACTACAATGATACGCACACAATCTTAACTATATAGCAAATAATTGGCATGTTACAGTTTGGAAACATTAACATTGATACTGCAAATTAACTTTATTTATTTTATTTTTTCCAAAATAGGTAAAATGTAATTTAAAATAGGGTGTTGCAAAATAATCTTACAGCAGGCGAAATGAAATTTCGTTGGATCTTAATTCGTGGATTGACTTATACACGAAAACCACGAGAATCAATGCCCCAGAATAATAATGAATTTTGTGACCTTCTTTTAAGATAGTAAAAAATAATTTAATCATGAAAACTTGCTCTCTTTCAGAACGTATTGCGTTTGAGGCTCATATGGAAAGTGGAAATGGGTTTATCCCTTTGAACAAGCCACTTATTTTTCCCGTCTGTACACTTAACGAGGGCAACGGTTATGATGACAAAAGTGGTAAATTCACTGCGCCTAGAGCAGGTGTCTACACGTTTCATGCGCATGTCTGTCACGATTGGGGTAAATATATGGTGTTTGCCATCACAAAGGGCGGCGTTCAACTAGCAGTTTCGTCAAGCTATGAGAATATCGGCTCTACATGTGGTTCCCTTAATACCATCGTGAGACTTAAGAGCGGAGAAGTTGTTAGTGTAGTCGCAAAATGGACAGGCAGTCACTTATTTGCAAATGTGCACCGTTGGATTTCCTTCGGTGGCTATTTTGTATACGCTTAGTGTAACCTATATGTTGTTGTTTACAGAACGAACAGAACAGTTCTTAAGTATGTACGTATTCATGCAAAAGCTTGTTTGTAATCAGTACAGCAATAATTTTTGAACAGATTAATTAAATAAACCACTTTAAATGAATAATTCAATACTGTACCAGTACATTTACACTTACTACAAGATACATTTTCGAATGAGAAAGAACAAATTAAACTGTACTTCATAAATTTTGACTAATCACTGTATACTCTTGCAAGATTAAATGAATTTCCCTTCTTATACATCAACATATTGAAGACAATAATTATTAATATATAATATATGCATGCATAGCCTGATTTTGAAAGCTTACACTGTTAATTTTTCAACATTATTCGCATTTAAGGTAAGACAAAATAAAAGTCTAGAGATAACCATTCAGTGTAATATATAATAAGGCGGATTTTAGTGATAAACGATATAAAATAGCTGATAAAATATGAGTAGTATAAATGGTATATACATGTAACACTTTTGTGCTTATTGTGTGTTTGTGTTTTAGTTTTTTTTTCCATAATTGTACTCATATAATTAGTACTCATATAATTACACAGAAGCCTTATATACGGATTTCATTAAAACGCATTTTTTGTAAATAATCCACATAGGCATCACAGCAGCTGTGCAAAAATTATTAATAAACGCCACGATTGTCCAATGAAATAGTGAAAAATAGAATCCCTAAAGAAAGCCCAACACGGCAAAATTGTAAAATGTGGCGACGTTACAAACGTGCAGTATTGTAATACGTCACATAATTGGCGGCATCAATTGGACACATTATCTTGTAATCTATTTTTGTTTACATTCCATTCGACAGAGTTATCCGATTTTCATATATCAGACATTAAATACAGCTTTTTTCAATTGTTGTCAATGCAATGCGTATACCAATATGGAATGAACACTTTAATTGTTATCAAATCAAACTTTAATTGTAATATTTAGACTGTAGTTTGTAATCAGAAAGCAATAAAACATTAAAAATTATATACACATGGAATCATTGTTTATTTCTATCCCGATTAAGTTTTCTTGAAGATTTAGTTTTACTGAAAAAAATGTATGTTGTTTTTTCCTTTAAAACAATATGCATATCAACTCAGTGATGCGTTGTTCTTAAGGAGGCTAGAATCACACTTCCCTTGAAAAGAAATGTAAACAAGAACTCCGGGTGCTCGTCCCAGAAAGGCATGTGAATGAGTTCCGGTGTCCCATCTCCGTGTTGCTCGTCCCTTGCAATCACGTGTTTCATTTCCCGTGTTGCTCGTCTCAAAATAGTATATGCATATTGAATCTGTTCAATGTGTGACAGCACTTCAAGCTTTTTATTTATTTATTTGGTTTATTTTTATTTATTTATTTACTTTTTTCGGGTATATTTATGATTATTTCAGATTCTTATAAGTTCATGAAAATATTAAGTTCATGAAATATGATAAAAGATCATCAAGGAAAGGCGGCCTTCAATGAACGCATCTCCAACGTGACCCAGCAACACAGGACCAACGGCAACCAGCCCAGAAGGACACCAAACAAAAGCAGGACAGGGCACTTTAAGCACTCTTAAGCCCCTTTGTGCATTATGTCATTACAAAAGGAGCTTTACAACAAGTATTTCTGTAATAAATTCGTATAATATTAATGACAGCGAGGCTTTGTTTGATTGATGGATTTATTTGCTTCTATAAGTATGTAAGCTTGGGTTTGTGAAGCAAATTGACTTATTAAACTATTGTGCTGTATCTTGTAAAGTACACTTCTTTTGGCTGGTTCTATTCATTGAAACTTCGTTTAATTTACATTTGAATTTTTTTTTCTCACTTACCAGATAGAAAAATCCCTAAATGTTACTAAAACTAGCGACGTTGGAAAATCTTATCTCACATAGGCTTATCACACACTCAACGTGCAGCACTTCTAAAAACGTATTCAATTCACTCTTATTTTAACAAAAATGAAACGTCAAAAGGTCAAAATGTATTAAAAGATATGTGAGCTAATCTATTTATTGTCCACGGGATCAAAATAGATTGATATTAACTTTCACACTGCAATGAGTCCTACTCTACCTAGGTCCGCCCTTTTCAATATCGATGTGTTAGGTGCTAGGGGGCGTGGACGGTAACTTGCACTTTCCAGTACCGTCCATGAACAGGCTCAATCAAACCGAGCCTGCAACATTTTCAATTCTTCCGTGTTGGGCTTTCTTTAGGGATTCTGTTTTTATCTATTTTATATCTAGCCACGTACTCCTGAAAGAATGTAGAAGACGATACTTCCTCAGCTTCTACTTCCATATGAACCATCTTCATATTTCCTTTATTACTGCTGACCAAAACATGTCAATATAGAAATGGTATAGACGAAAGATTAAACCAGACACGCAGATAAGACTAAGCATTATAAGCATTGCCATGTCTCGTTTACACATCGGTCATAAACATTAAAAAACACTTTGAATTAATTCCCTTAAACAAAATGGTCAGATGTTTCCTAATGGGAGTCCCATATTAATGGGATAAACACGAAGGATACCCATATTCATCTTTATGTTTCAAAATGTAACATCTCGACATTTATCTGAAATTCATTTGATATATTTCGCTAAAAATTGTTCAATTCATTCGATGATGAATTAGGTTTTTCTCCGTACGTACACTTACATCTGTAACAATAGATGAAGGACAGTCACGCTATGTTAATTATAGTGCACATATTGACTATGCTAGATATGGCCTTTCAATAGGAAAGGCACTGACAACAACAAAATGAATTTGTCACACTGGTAAGAATAAAATGAAAGGAAAAATTGTAAGCAATGGAAATCGACAATCGTATAGATATGAAGTATATTGTGTACATGTCTTTTAGTTTAAACAAAAAATATATTAATCAAGATCAACAAGGAAAGGCGGCGTTCAATGAACGCAACCCCAAAAGTCCCAGCAACAAGAACCAGCGGCAAGAAACCCTGGAGGATTCAAACAAAAACAGGAAAGGGCGCAAGGCAGAGCACGGACATGATACTTTATTTCTATCAAACATATATGCGCAATACAATAACAATCAAATACAAAAAAGGACTAAGTAAAAGCTGCGAGGTTTTTTAGAAAGAATTATCATTTATAATATAACATTGATGCATAAACAAAATATTTTTCCTAATGGTTCAAAGAGTAGTTCAAATATATGATTTCGACAATAACAGTAAAACTGAATCAGAAGTTTAAAAAGAAAATTAAAAAAATTAAGATAAACATAAGGACATTTATTTTACATTAAACGTAAAAGATAAAATAGACACGGTTGATTATATATCTTCAGCTTGACAAAGTTTGTTTTTCTATTAATCACTCTTGATGGATATTTGTTTCAATGTCTCAGAAACAAATACAAATATCCTTCTTTAAAAAAAGGGCAAACGCAAACGTAAGTTTTAGAACATTTGAATAATGAACTTATATTAACGATCCTTGAAGATCGTTCAGCACGACATTATTGTTGTGCTTGTGGTATTTCTAGTTTCAACTTTTTTGGCATCTTCTAGTTGGGTGGTTCCAATATTCCTACTTGAATAATGTTGAATCACCCTTGGGATATGTTGCCTGCTTTTTAAATTTGTCTTTTGACGTCTTATCTGTGATATGCAGGCTTCATAACCTCTGATCCCCTTTCAAAATTCCATTTTATTTAGTTCCGCCCATTGTTTTCTCGTTTAGGGCACCCGCTTTTTATTACTTGGGGACCATACGCCGCTTTTCATGGAATGGCACGGAAGTGTCACATTGAAGGTTCCATGATAACCGCCGTATGAACACATCTGCGGATGTTTCTAAATTCAAAAGTTTACTATTTCACTTTTAAATGTTGAATTCTGCTTAAGCCGGTGCTAGGGGGCGTGGACGGTAACTTGCACTTTCCAGTACCGTCCATGAACAGGCTCAATCAAACCGAGCCTGCAACATTTTCAATTTTGCCGTGTTGGGTTTTCTTTAGGGATTCTGTATTTATCTATTTTATAGATAGAGGTGCTTATTACATGAACATGGCATAACACATCCTAAAAGAAGCACAATGCAAACTTTATCCATGAAAAGATACAAGCATGTTTTTCTTTATTTCATTGAATTGGTTATGGATAATAAGTTATGTTTATAAAGACAGAAGCATTTTCATTTGTTACACACAAACACGCTTTTGTCTGGTTCTTGTTGCCTGGTCGTGTTAGGGTTTCGTTCATTGAACGCCTCCGTTCCTTTTTGATCTGGTCTGCCATATAATATTAAATAAAACACCTGCTGTTTACTGTTTATAACTAATTAATTGTATACGTGTAACCCTATTGGATTGGTAATAAATCAGCTCTTATACACAAAAACCAAACAAAACAATTAAATGCTTAAAGGCACATTATGTCTCAGAAATGAATTTAATACAGCTTATATGTTTTATAAAAATCAAATAATAATAGTAAAAGAGAATGCTTTATGCTTATTACTTCAAGTAGCACTGAAAATGACATTATTTGTCATAAAGGTAGTAAAATGTAGTATTTAGAATTCTATACACTAACTCTATCACTGTAATTGGACTACTGTCCAGAAATCAGCATATTAAGTAAAATATGTACAGGTATTTGGCCGATGCGAACATTTTTGAAAACTATAAAAGTACACCAAAATTAAAAAGCTTTTGAAAACAAATCAGGCATATTGGGTCTAAAATAAGTTATTTATAACATAGAAAGTACCATACAAGTGCAATTTGGTAGAAAAAGTAAATAATTACCGATGACCGGAATAAAAGTTGTTTATCATACCGTTATATGTCAAAAATATATACCAATATCCTAAAATGACCGTGATGAGTTGCTAGATTATGGTAATAATGAGTTATTTGATATAAAATGAACAAACATTGAATATATCTAACACAGTAATGGAATCGAGTTGTCTCAAAATCAGGACAAATGTTGAAAGGAATAAAAAAACAACAGTCATGTAGATGTTATTAACGTATATATGTAATCAAAGACCATCTAGCTCAATTAAATGTTTGTGAAATGTATACAGTATTTCCTTGAAAACTTTAAATGTTTCTTTTAATCTATTAAAAAATGTTAATTAATTAAATAAAATTAATTAATGTAACGTACCATACAGTATCCTAACATTTTTCAAAATTTTCACTAGTCTTGTACAACAACTTAATATACGCCACAATTATTGTTGGCCTTCCTAAATTGTTTCTATATTCCCGTCACGAAAATGTCATTTATTTTATCAACAGCGTCCATGCTCTAGTAATGAACAAGGTATATTTGTAATACAGGAAGAAGCTTTACAACAAGTAAACATAGTTTTCTTTTCAGGTAGTATAATATATGTTTAAATGGTATTTCTATTGATAGGTATCGTTCAACATTTAAAAGTTATTTAAATTTATCACAGTGAAAACATCAACTAGAATTCGTTATATTTTCATATGATTGTTGAGGACATCAATCGATAGACCTTGATTTTTAAAAGTTTAAGGAACAGATGTGATGTCACCAATATTCAGGCAGTATATTCTTAATTTGATTAGTCTATGCTAAACAGTAGTGAAAATGAAATGAATAGTTTACAGTATATTAGCGGGAAATGAACATACGTTTATGAACAAAAATGTAAATTGAAAGCAAAAAGGAAACAAACATCACACACACACACACACACACACACACACACACACACACACACACACCAATACTTGTAAGGACCCTCCAATGAGGACACATAACTTTTTGCAGTCAATTGAGGACACTCCTTTCTGAATGGTTTTCTTTCAAAATAACTACCCTAAGATCACAAATATATTTTTTACACTATAGTTATAACTTTTAATCAACGATACTGTCATTACAAATAGACTGGAAAAAAGACAGTCTATTGAGGACCCACCCCCACTCAGGTGTGTCTAACCTAATGGGGACATTCTGACAAATGCATCCAAT